GGTTCTGGGCTCCCTCTCAGGAAAGAGTCTCTTCTAGAAGACCTTCGCCTGTTCAATCTTAACCAGAGTGGGACTGACTCTCACCGGCCGACTGATGTCCACCTTCAACTCTGACACACACACACACACACACACAGAGAGAGAGAGATGTGATTAGGCTCAAGCACGCGCACACACACACACACACACACACACACACACACACACACACAGACACACACGTGCACACACACACACAGACACACACACACACACTCGCACTCGCACACTCACTCGCACACACACACTCGCACACACACACACACGCACACACGCGCAGACACACACACACACACACACAGACACAGACACAGACACAGACACACACCCCATAAAAACACAGACAGGAAGTTTAGTTTGGGCTCATTTAGGCTCCATGTGATAGCTGCAGGAAGTGATGTCACTCTTACTTGAACCCTGGAGCCACGTCAGCACAGCGTCCCGTCCGCAGCCAGATGCAGTATGGGTCATGCGTGTGGAGACAGCGTCTGTGGAGGAACACCGAGAAGAATGATAGACAATAAGCTTCGGAAGACATACGGTTTAGTTGAGTAATGAGTTTGCGGTCTCAAGTGAATGTGATGAGATATGGGTCTATTATGTGAAATAATACAAAGATAATAAACAGACAGCAAGTCTGACAAAAAAAACACACAACATTACATCTATTCTGAATCATGAACCAATGACACTTGTGAAGCAGTTAAGTCAAAATAAAATGACAAACTTTTTCTCTTTTTAGGAAAAATCACAATTTTTCTTCCATGTTTTAATTTTTACAGTAAACCTCTGGGGCTGGTTGCACCAGCTGGACGTACACCCGGTTGTAAGACTAGGCTGGACGTAAAATGCGCTTTAAGTCCTGTGTAGAATTTATATCCATTGCACCGTCTCGGCGTAGTGCTACGTCTGAGATTAAATCTTACGCCTAGTCAGAGGTAGGTGTAAAGTGAAAAGTCATGATTTGCTCGGACATTATTAGTTTTTATGATTCATGTCTGTTAGTTAATTATTACTGCAGACGTGAACTACAATGTTTATGGTCTTTTCGGGCAGGATAAGCTATATCAATCACGAAGCTCGGTGTAGACTATACCACACTTCCGACAGTAATTGACCTAATAAAAACTATATTTCTGTACAGCATGTAATTATGCAGTAAAATATTACACGTCTTTAATTCCATTCATTATTTGTAGCGTGCCTCCCATCCAATAATCGCAGTAAGTTTTGTGCTTTGTTGCTTTTAATTACAAATACAGTATCAGCTTTCAAATTCTGTCAGTTTTATCACAAAATACAAACTATAAATCCGTTTTTTCAGCCACAGTAAGACGTCAGTAAAACTGTCACGTAAAGTCACATTTACCTCAGGAAAGACATTCATTGTACATAAACTAGATAGTCAGCTAGAAAAAAATAACTTTAGAGAGAAGCATTTTATTACATTCATTATATTTTACTTAACCTGCTGCCTTCATTTTTAATGTTCGTTTGAAGAAATCTGTCATGGGAATGTGCAGGGAGACTTCAGATATAAAAAAAACGCGGACTTGTTAGAAAATGTTTACTCAATAAAATCATGGCGGTGACTTCACTTGTTATGATGTCTTGAGCAATTCAGTTTTATATTAGTAGTTGTAGTCATTGCAGTGTGAATGTCGTCTCAGCCATCACTGCGGGAGAATGTGTCAGCATGGACACGCATTGTCTACGCCGGGCGTAGTTGCGACTGATCGTAGTTTTAGTTGGTGCAACAGATGTAAATATTTATCGTAAAGCTGGATGTTGCAAAGCCCAGTGTAGGATTTACACCCAGATTTTTTGTCTAGCTGGTGCAACTGGCCCCAGTTGTGCATCACTTTGTGTACCAAATAAAAGCAATTGTTAAATTTTCATTTGATCACATTTGATTAATTAAATTCTTAATGTTTTAAGAGTTCATCTGAAGACCACTGTTTTTTGATAACAAAATTGTATTTAGTCACATAATGAATTGTAAAGGTTTCATGATATAAATTAATTAGACACGGTTTATGATAACTAAAATTTAATTTAACTAAAAATGAAACCAGAAAAATGTCATCAGAATATCACAGATTTTCTGAAAAATAAACAAGGCCTTATTACTGTACTTTTTTTTTTTAAATTATTAAACTGTTAAGGCTCAATTGATTAAACATGCTTTTTGTTTATTAACAATACACAATAAAGCGCTATATAAATGCCTTATTCATTCATTACAAATTTTTACCAAACCATTAAAATGGAATCCAGAAAAGCACAACATTTTGGAAAAATTAGGGCCCCAAAAATGTAATTTTGTTAGACATTTAATAAATTGTTGTAAAATTGTACAAGTTGCATGATTTCAATCAGATACCTTTTTATTATAAAAAAATATTAATATTTTAATTTAATAATTAAAATGGAATCCAGAAAAATTAA